GATGGAAGGGCGGCGCAAAGCATCACTGGGCACACTGTCCATGAGTGGCCCTGAAGTCTGCAGGACGATACAGAGAGGAATTAGACACATTTTCTGTACCAAGGAGCAAAATGGGACTCTGAGAGCTTGTCAAACATATGTACCCAACTACCTGCAGAAGATTGAACATTCCCCACAAAGCCCCAGGGCTGGGAAGTCTGTGCATTTGCCGCAAGTCAGCAATTTCTCGGAAGTCTGCAGTTTCGGCTCACAATCGACACGAACTGAGTGTGTAATGCCTGAGCTCCCATATATATATGTGCATATATATATATATATATTCATAGATATACACATATATATGGTAGTGTTTTAGAACAAAAGGCTATATTGCCCCCAGGTCTTTAGGGAAGGCAGGCCCTTCCAAGCACATCTGCCTTCCCAGAATGTGGACACAGGGGGTTTCAGAGCCACAATTCGACATTGTGCCAGCTCATCCAAGAGGCCCCGGGGCTCCTTCCTGTGGCCTCTGCTCCTTTCTGTTTTGTCAGTTTGAAAAGAAACTTCTGGACTGGAGCAGACACCGATCCCTGGTCACTTTTCTTCCTGAGAAGGTCGTGGCAGTCCGTGGATATTCATTCAAAATTAAGTACACTAAGTCTCAGAAAGGTGATCACATGGCTAATATGTGACAGAATGAGAGTGTGGACACAGGGGCTTCCAGAGCCACAATTCAACCTGGTCCCTTCTCACCCAAGAGGCCCAGGGGCTCCTTCCTTAGGACTCTGTTCCTTCCTCCTTTTTCAATTTGATATCAGACTTCTGGACTGGAGCAGACACCTCCCTCTCCTTCACTTTTCTGCCTGGGCTGGTCGTGATGGTTCCTGTATACTCATTCAAAATTCAGAAAACTGAGTCTCATACAGGTGATCACACAGGTAATAAATGACAGAGTCAGATAGAGACCAACAGGTGTCTGAAATTTCGCAAACTGACCTCTTTCGACCAGGTGAAGGATGCTATTTTGGTTTCTTCCTCGACAAGGATGTAGGGGCACATGGGACGTGGAATGGCGGGCAAAGCATCCCTGGGCACACTGTCTGTGGGAGGCCCTGAAGTCTGCATGAGGATACAGAGAGGAATTAGACATATATTGTGACCCAAGGAGCTCAATGGGACCCTGAGTGCTTGTCAAAATTATGTACCCAACTATCCGCAGAAGATTGAACATTCCCCTCAAAGCTTCAGGGCCTGGGAAGCCTGTGCATTTGCCGCAAGTGAAAAATTTCTCGGAAGTCTGCACTTTTGGCTCACAATGGACGTGAACTGAATGTGTAATGTCAGAGCTCCCA